GCAAACAGTCCAGATCTCAATCCAATTGAAAATCTGTGGTGGAAATGGAAGAAAATGGTCCATGACAAGGCTCCAACCTGCAAAGCTGATCTGGCAACAGCAATCAGAGAAAGTTGGAGTCAGATTGATGAAAAGTATTGTTTGTCACTCATTAAGTCCATGCCTCAGAGACTGCAAGCTGTTATAAAAGCCAGAGGTGGTGCAACAGTACTAGTGGTATGTTGTAGTTTTTTGTTTGTTTGTTTTTCATGATTCCATAATTTTTTCCTCTGCTTCATCTAAAAAAAGCAATTGTTATTGACTACCACTTTTTTTTTCTTGATTTCTTTTAGTGTTTCTTAAAACCAGAAAGTTGCTTTAAATGACTTTAGTTTTGTGGCATGTCTATGATCTGCTTTTTCGTACAGAATTAAACAACTGAATGAACATCCTCCATGACTAGTGATTCCATAATTTTTGCCAGGGGTTGAAGGTCATGTTCAGACACAAAGTTTTAATTTAAGTCAACATGATTAACTTTTGTATTGCGACAATCAACTTCCATAGATATCTATGTAGATTCTGCTGTTGAAATCAGCTTGTTCAGCAATGATCTCCTGTTTCATGTAATTAATATTGTTCAGTTACTGAAATGGGAAAAGCCCAATAGTTGCTGAATGATGGCTTTGTTTAATTCAGTCTCAGTGAGCCAGTGAAGTGGGATGTACAATATAGGGAAAATATGAATTGTGATTTTTTTTTTGAGAAGATATTGCAATGTCACTTGTAATGTAATGTTTTAAGGTCAAACTTCACAACAAGAAAGACGGCATGAATGTGTAAAACCATGGACTCGGCAGTTTAAACCTTGGGCCAAATGTGCTGCATAACGGATATCCTAACATATAGTTTTGATTTGATAATTGCATAGTTTCAAATCGCAGTTTCAATTTAAAATCAATTAATTGTTCATGCAGAACACAGTGTGTCTTACCCTCGGTCTCCATGTCACAGTAGACAGGCAGGGTGCTGCCTGAAGACATTACAATGGTGTAAACCCCAGAACGACGAACGCCATTATAAAACAGAGACGCGCAGTCTGATGGACAGAAAGACAGGTACTTTCCATCTGAGGGAGACAGAAAGACAGATGGACAGAGAGTTTGTGAGAGGGAGAGAGAGAGAGACGGCTTTACACAGCATCACCAAACAGACTATCAACACAGTGACTCAACCTTCTGTTGGTCAGTCTTTAGCAAAACTACTCTCAGGTTCAAAATGTTCAGCCTAATCTGCAAAACTACTGCAAACAGCAGCGAACAGTTTTTGACATGCAAAGTTAAGACACTTAATTTTAAAAAAAAAAGTAAAACAAATGTAGTTGCCAAAGAGAAAACACTGTTATGTATACAGGGAGTGCAGAAATATTAGGCAAGTTTTATTTTTGAGGATTCATTTTATTATTGAACAACAACCATGCTCTTAATTAACCCAAAACACTCATTAATATCAAAGCTGAATATTTTTGGAAGTTGGAGCAGGGCTTTTTCAGTTTTAGCTATTTTAGGAGGATATCTGTGTGTGCAGGTGATTATTACTGTGCATAATTATTAGGAAACTTAACAAAAACAAATATATACCCATTTCAATTACTTATTTTCACCAGGGAAACCAAGATAACAGCTCAACAATCACAAATATACATTTCTGACATTCAAAAACAAATCAGTGACCAATATAGCCACCTTTCTTTGCAAGGACACTCAAAAGCCTGCCATCCATGGATTCTGTCAGTGTTTTGATCTGTTCACGATCAACATTGCGTGCAGCAGCAACCACAGCCTCCCAGACACGGTTCAGAGAGGTGTACTGTTTTCCCTCCTTGTAAATCTGACATTTGATGAGGGACCACAGGTTCTCTATGGGGTTCAGATCAGGTGAACAAGGAGGCCATGTCATTAGTTTTTCTTCTTTTAGACCCTTTCTTGCCAGCCACGCTGTGGAGTACTTGGATGCGTGTGATGGAGCATTGTCCTGCATGAAAATCATGTTTTTCTTGAAGGATGCCGACTTCTTCCTGTACCATTGCTTGAAGAAGGTGTCTTCCAGAAACTAGCAGTAGGACTGGGAGTTGAGCTTGACTCCATCCTCAACCCGAAAAGGCCCCACAAGCTCATCTTTGATGATACCAGCCCATACCAGTACCCCACCTCCACCTTGCTGGCGTCTGAGTCGGACTGGAGCTCTCTGCCCTTTACCGATCCAGCCACGGGCCCATCCATCTGGCCCATCAAGACTCACTCTCATTTCATCAGTCCATAAAACCTTAGAAAAATCAGTCTTGAGATATTTCTTGGCCCAGTCTAGACGTTTCAGCTTGTGTGTCTTGTTCAGTGGTGGTCGTTTTTCAGCCTTTCTTACCTTGGCCATGTCTCTGAGTATTGCACACCTTGTGCTTTTTGGCACTCCAGTGATGTTGCAGCTCTGAAATATGGCAAAACTGGTGGCAAGTGGCATCTTGGCAGCTGCATGCTTGACTTTTCTCAGTTCATGGGCAGTTATTTTGCGCCTTGGTTTTTCCACACGCTTCTTGCGACCCTGTTGACTATTTTGAATGAAACGCTTGATTGTTCGATGATCACGCTTCAGAAGCTTGGCAATTTTAAGAGTGCTGCATCCCTCTGCAAGATATCTCACTATTTTTGACTTTTCGGAGCCTGTCAAGTCCCTCTTCTGACCCATTTTGCCAAAGGAAAGGAAGTTGCCTAATAATTATGCACACCTGATATAGGGTGTTGATGTCACTAGACCACACCCCTTCTCATTACAGAGATGCACATCACCTGATATGCGTAATTGGGAGTAGGCTTTCGAGCCTATACAGCTTGGAGTAAGACAACATGCATAAAGAGCATGATGTGGTCAAAATACTCATTTGCCTAATAATTCTGCACTCCCTGTAGTTTTTATTGTGTCAAATTGCTGCAACTCGCAACTCACCACTGTGCTTGTTGCATGTGTACCTGGTGGCAGTGTGTCTCGCATGCCGAGTGGCGGTGTAGCTCTGAGGATGCTGACCGTGCAGCCTGTGTTGTGGCTCATGCCTTGCACGGTGTCTGACAGGTTGCGGAGCTGCGCCTGCAGCTCATGCAGCAGCGCCGCATGCACGTGGAGCAACGTGTCGGCCTCAGCCTGACGCTGCTCCAGAGAACGCAACCGCTGCTGAAAGGTCGAGTTTAAACTAAGACTTTCTTCACTCTGAGAGACAGAAAGAGAAAAGAAAAGAGGATGCTAGTGGAAGCAGTATTCAGATCCTTTACTATTAATATAGCAATGTAAAAATACTCCATTACAAGTAAAAGTCCTGCATGGTAAATCCTATTTAAGTAAAAGTAAGTATTAGCAGCAAAATGTAGTTAAAGTACTAAAAAGACTGGTGTGGGTGGAAACCAAGTCAGTTTAGTCTCTAAAAAGGCTGAAAATCACTTGAACTGAACAAACTTGAACTGTGTGTTGTATTTTACAACTTTTTATACGATTCATTGTATTTCTATTTGCATTGACTTGCACTAATGTTGCGTCCTATTAAATGCTTTAATCATATTTGGTGTGCGGTGCCTGCTCCGGCCTGTAGAGCTGAACAATCATGGCCGGTTGGACTTTTTTAGAACGTAGGTAAAGATGTAAGATGTATGTAACATGTGAATATGTGGAACCAAATAGCACTCCACTGGTTAATAAAAGCTGCCATCCCACTTTGACTTTCTGATAAACATACGGCACAAACAACGACATAATTTGAAAACAACTTGATACGTGATAATGTGTGATTGCAGTCTTGCAGGCTTGTTTTCAAGAGGGGGCAGCCTGTGGACACTGTGGGTCAGCACAGAGTCAGTAGGAAGCAGGACCCTGACCAATTGGCCTGCAGCTAATCCTGTTAGCATTCAGGGTTAAGGAGGACTTAGTGAGTGTCAAGACAAAGAGATAAAGAGAGACAAAGAGATAACGAGAGGCAGAAATAAACAGAGACAGAGAAAGAAGGCTTTTGTGTTTTACCTGCATGTATGTTTTCCAGCTTTCAAAAAAAAAACGACATAAAAATGGATTTTAAAAAATGCTTTTGCTCTGTCTCTCTTTCACTTTTTTTTTTTTTTAACCCCAGTTTACCAATTCAAATGTGAATTTTCAGTTTTCACCTTGTTTCACCTTTGACTGTTGCGATTATGCTCTGTTTAGACTTTGTCGTTTCTTTGACCAGTATGGATTTACTTCCAGAAACAGATACGTTGCATCCTTTTTTAGGGCTAAGCACAGACGAATGTCGTTGAATGGAAACATGTTGTGGCATCTCCACCAACCATCTATCTTTGCATTGTTTCCAAATGTAGCCCATCAAACCATGTCTAAAACACACTGGGCAAGCTCCATAGCATAATGTGATGCATTTTTGAAATATGGACCTGGCAAAATGTAAAAAATATCCCCAATTTGACTTGTTTTTTGATTTTTTGAAAAGACTGGAAGAGGAAAACTACTTTTTTGAACAAGTTCTGACAGTGAGTATTTAGCATCATTTATCTTGGCACTCTTTTTTGTGTCTTCATCTCCAGACAATATCAAATATAACTAATACCAGCTGACATGAAAGAATACTTACACTTTGCCCAACTGAACTAAATTTCTGACACCCTATCACCTTTTTTTTTTTTTTCTACAAATGGCCAAAGTTTTGTTTATTTTTTCTTCTTCAAGTATTTTTAATGATTGCCAAACAGCAGGCTACCTTTCCAAACTGCAACTGCAACATCTACTTTTTGCATGATGCAACATATATCGCCACCTTCTGATGACACTACGCCACCTAGTTTACTTTCTCCAGAGAAGTAAATGGAAAAAAAAACTTTCATTAATTTCAAAAGTTCTCTTCAAATTCACTTTACAATTACACGGATACATGGCTAAAGTGAACCAAAACCTGCCATTTCATTGAACATTCAAAGAAAACAAACAGTAAACGAGAGAACACGAAGTCTACCTGCATCTCCAGGGTTTTGACTCGTTGCTGGTGGTTCCTCAGCTCCTCCTGCAGCTCGGACACCGTCTCTTTTAGCTCCTCCAGCTGATCTTTCCTGTTCCGGTTTTCATGGAGCCAATAGGAGACATCATCGGTACATCGAAACATGTCCGGGCAGCGTTTTTGCGAAGTTCCCACCGGAGGCAGGCTCGCCGTCAGCCGGCACTGACCGTTAGACGTCAGGTGGCTGCTGAAATCACCGCACTGTGACGATGAACTGCCAACGTTCTGGTTCATGGCTGGGTTGGCGCCATCATCAGCATCGGTGTTGTCGCTGCGGACCACCAGCGGGGCGTCAGGTGTCAGGTCGGAGTGTGTTTCCAACAAAGAGGAAGGAGGATGCCAGTCAGCATCGCCATAGTTGTCCTCGTTCATGTTTGGCACGTCCCAATTTGTTTCCATGCGCATGTCCGGGTCGTCTGCGTTTGTTTCTCTGCGGATGATGGGGTGTACGCCCTCATCGTTTCCAATATCTGAGTGTTCGTCAGAGGCCACAAAATCCCCATTAACAGGCCGAAAACACCAACCAGTCAGTAGGATAAAAAACAGGAACATAGATTGCCACTTCATCCTGAACATTCAATAACTCCACCACCCTGGTTGCTGTTGGCTTTTATCCATAGTAACTTCAAGTCAACAGCAGAGAGTTTCAATCAGTGGCTCGACATCAGGGTTCGATATCATAGCAGCAAAATGAGGTCCAGACTTCACCCAGAGTTTGACATCTGTTCTTGGCTTTGATTCAGGATGGTGAAGAATCGTTGAAGCTCTGAAAGAAAGCATCATTTTCGCACATGAACTGCAACTCAAACCAAAAACAGCTGAATCATTCCAGCAAAGTCACTGTTCAACCTGCTCCAAAGGCTGGAACGTTAACATCCTCTGGGTTGTATTCAGAAGAGATCGCTGGGTCTTGTTAATGTTAAACCTCATAAACAGGGTCAAAATCACAAAAGGAATTTCCAACAATTTGATAATTTATGTTCTTCAAAAGGTGACAGACAGTTTCCAAGTACACCTAGGCTGGTTGAAATCACAATACACATATCTAAGTTTAGTATCCAAATCACTGGAGTTGCAGTTCTTTGATCAAGTTAAAATGCGTCACAACCAAACACTGTTTATAAAAGCCACCATGATGTCACCCATTGGCTTGTAGACTACTATTGCGAAGACTTGAGTTGGGTATTTTTGTGTTGCCTACTTGGTGTTTTCTAAACTAAATGCAAAAAGCAAGAGATGGATCTGATCTCAGGCTAGCAACCTGTCATTCACTAAGTAGCTGTGCCCTAAAACATATTCTGCTTATATCCTGTATTCTATGACGTGTGAGGTGCCAGATACTGATAAGTGCTTTGGATTGGTCATTGTGGACATCATGTGAAAGGGTTAGAGTTAGTCAAAAATTTAAAACAAAAACTTACAAAAAAAGAAAATAAGATTCCATAGAAATCCAAGTTCACAAAGACAGTCAAATATGAAGAAAAATTAAATACTGATGGCAAAATGATTTTCTGATTTCCTTACAAATAAACTTTTATGAGTGATGATGATTTAAGCCTTAAAAAATAAAAAAAAAGGAGGCTCTCTTTAGGAAAATGCTTAATGACAGATTTTTTTTTTGTTTTTTAGTTTAACATGAATTTTCTATTTAACTTTAATCAGAAAGGAAACCTGAAACCACATTCCTACCTGCTGCCATTTCCCAGCGCTGAATTCCCCTCAACAGAAAAGCATGCCGATGTGTGTGCTTGCGTGTGTGTGTGTGTGTTCGGCAGCGGGTATGACATCTTATCCTGATAATCCACTAAGGGGATTGGCAGCCATTGGCCTCGGAGATAATACATTACTTGCAATGGCATTAGAGTGATGTGACATCAACTGCATTACAGAAAATGAAAGAATAAACGTATATGCTTTTAAATGTATTCGTTGATTTTCTCCAGACTCCTGATTTATTCCTGCACTTTATTTCTAATCTTTGTTTTTACATGAAGTATTTTGAATTACATCCACTGAATTGTGCTGTATAAATGAATTATGACTGACTGAAGATGAACCTTGCAACTGTACATCATTTCTGCTGCTTTTCTGTTTCTGTCACCTCAAAGTGCCACAAAATGACGAGAAAAAGTAGTAACTGGATGAAACGACAAAAACGCAACAATGGGGACTTGTTAGCCTGAATGGTGAACTATAAAGTAGACATGAAAGTAGAAAATGACCTTTTTCTGACCTGATCTGTGAGACCAGTAAACATTTTCCTAATAAGTTTATGCTCTCATTTGCTTGCTTGAAGTCCTCTACAATACAACATCGTGTTCATTTTGTAAATTATAGTCCTATTTAGAGGAAAATAGACAATGAAGCAGGGTTTGCTTTAAGGCGGGACTTCCTAGCGATTAGCAGGTCTCCACTGTATCCCTCTGCGCAACGTCCTTGAGTCCTCCGGTCCAACCCACCTTTTGATTTCAATAGACCAAGATGGGAAAAGCTTCACAACTGTCATCCATGAATTGATGCCAATGGGTGTCGTCACACTTGATTTATTTGAAGTCAGCTGGTAAAGATGCATTGTCACTGACAGGTAATCGTAATGAAAGGTTACGGGTGCTTGTTAATTGTTGCCATAGACACGCTCTGTTTAAAGATGGAGGTGTACAATGCCAAATAGCAGCTGCATAAAGTTTCAACAGCACTAACATCTTTAGTGACCCCTGACCTGGCAAGCTCATATCCTCTGTCGTGTGAAGTGGCTGCTCCACAACCATTATTGCTGCTGTGTCACCTGGTTTCATAACTATTCATACCTTCAGACATGTGAGTTCTGGCTTTTTATTGGGCCAGGAGTCATAAGAGTTCTGGGTCACTATGTACATCTGAAATTCGTCGCCATCTCTTTGAGCGAAAGAATCCTGTTCGAAGAGAGGTGAAATGTCTACAAAAGCCTGACAGAGATGTCCAGTTGCGTTTTACTGAAGCTCCAAGGAAACGCATAGGAACACACTGAAGCAAGAAACAGCATCAAACAAAAGGGTTCAAAAAACAGAATTCACAAACCAGAAGCAGACAGAGAACCTGGAGCGATCTAAGGCAGGTAAAACAGACATTATGGCAGCTGAAACAGGAAGAGATCAGACTGTATATATATATATATATACACACAAGGGGCTGACTGACAAGATGAGACACAGGTGAAACCAGTGAGGGCAGACATCAGGGAACAAACAGAAAAGGAGAAGGTATAAACAACTGGAGACGGGGACCTTTTCTGGTTATTTATAAAGACAATACAGACCTGCATGTTATGGTTGTAAAACAAGTTTTTCTAAGCTCCCTATTTATTCTGTTTAGTAATCTATGTCAAGTAATTATGAGCATTAGGAGACTGTTTTGCATCAGGCAAAACATACTAAGTTATTATGAACAGATTTTGTAAATGGCAACTTGAGGACAAACTTAGTTTACGTACACACGTGGACAAAATTGTTGGTACCCCTCGGTTAATGAAAGAAAAACCCACAATGGTCATAGAAATAACTTGAATCTGACAAAAGTAATAATAAATATTCTATGAAAATTAACCAATGAAAATCAGACATTGCTTTTGAACCGCGGTTCAGACATTAAAGGTGAACTCCAAGGTCATGGTACATCAGTGTTAGATCGCACCATTCGTTATTGTTTGAACCAAAGTGGACTTCATGGGACACGACCAAGGAGGACACCATTGTTGAACACAAATCATAAAAAAGCCAGACTGGAATTTGCCAAACTGATTGTTGACAAGCAACAACGCTTCTGGGAGAATGTCCTATGGACAGACGACACAAACCTGGAACTTTTTTGTAAGGCACATCAGCTCAATGTTCACAGATGCAAAATGAAGCATATCAAGAAAAGAACACTGTCCCTACTGTGAAACATGGAGGAGGCTCTGTTATGTTCTGGGGCTGCTTTGCTGCATCTGACACAGCGTGCCTTGAATCTGTGCAGGGTACAATGAAATCTCAAGACTATCAAGGTATTCCAGAGAGAAATGTGCTGCCCAGTGTCAGAAAGCTTGGTATCAGTTGCAGGTCATGGGTCTTGCAACAGGATAATGACCCAAAACACACACAGCTAAAAACACCCAAGAATGGCAAAGAGGAAAACACAGGACTATTCTGAAGTGGACTTCTATGAGCCCTGATCTAAATCCTATTGAACATCTGTGGAAGGAGCTGAAACATGGTATCTGGAGAAGGCACCCTTCAAACCTGAGACAACTGGAGCAGTCTGCTCATGAGGAGTGGGCCAAAATACCTGCTGAGAGGTGCAGAAGTCTCATTGACAGTTACAGAAATCGTTTGATTGCACTGATTGCCTCAAAAGGTTGTGCAACAAAATATTAAGTTAAGGGTACCATCATTTTTGTCCAGGCCTGTTTAATGAGTTTATTCTTTAAAATAATTCTGTTGAACCACGGTTCAAAAGCGATGTCTGATTTTCATTGGTTAATTTTCATAGATTTTTTATTTATTATTACTTTTGTCAGATTCAAGTTATTTCTGTGACCATTGTGGGTTTTCCTTTCATTAACCGAGGGGTACCAACAATTTTGTCCACGTGTGTATAATCCTTGTTCAGTGCAGACAGAAGCAGAAAACGACACACAGAATTTAATTGCAGCAGTTGGGGAACAAAATTCTGAGTCGATAATGTCATCGGTTTGACATCGGACTTCTGTTTCATCACGCCATTACCTCCTCATCTTCTTCTTGGACGTACTGGAGAGTTTGTGTGTTTGTGTAATGGACTGAACGGGAATTCAAGGCTGCGACCAGCCTCTAATGGGTTTATATTTACCTGCCTGCCTCCAGAAGCTGCTCAGTTTGTTCCATTAGAGAAACAGAAAGAGCAACAAGAAAAAACTTTTTAATGACTGATGACGTGAAGTCTGTGGTCACTTTAGAAAACATTTTCCATTTGACATCCAAAGCATTTGTCTGTGACATTTTTATTCCTGTCTTCACCAAAGCAGCAAAGGTATTTGAACATGACAATCAACCATACAGATCATTTTGTGTCTCACCTGACACAATACAGAAGCAACGGCAGGTGATGTCTCCGATAAACTGCTAAAAATCACAGCGGAAAAATAATGAACTGACGCACTTTTGCTATGATAAAGATTCATTTAGGTTCTGGCACATAAACAGGCTGGTTAGGTTTAGGGAAACATCATGGTTTGGCTTAAAATATGTAATTTGTTGGGGTTAGAGACGGTTTTCATTACTACAACACTAAGCACATAGTTAAGGTTCTGTACGAGGTGCAAGCAAATGTTCAGAGTCTCTGATGAGAGTTGAGACCAAGCAGCTACCTTCAGTGGAAGAACCTCAGTCTCCAAAGCTGAGGAAGGTGCATCAGGACAAGAGGGCACCAAGACGATGCTCGCTTAAATTTACGTTTTGTTTAATAGGGCAGTGCAGAAACAGAACATGACATTGGGGCGCGACACAGAGAATTTTCAGCCATTTGTAAATTCAAGCTCTTTTCTCTAGTAGAGCTTTTGCATACACGATGAAATTAAAATGCGAGAGTTCATCAAAAGGTATTCCGATTGCGCCTACAAAAATCTAAAATATGCATTGGATTTAAAGCTGTCCTTGTCGGTGTAGTCTCCTTGTGCAGTGATATTCAGCTACAAGTGCTCCTGCAACATTTGTCATTTTCCCTGGAAGTCCTATTCTATCAAAACAATTATGGCTCATAAAAAAACAACCTGTGGCTTTATTTTTTTAAAGATACAATAATAAGATGGTTAGTCAGGGGTATGAACAAGGGTTAATGTCAAACAGGTCCTTTAAAATGAGAAAGTGATGGTGCGATTAGAGTCCCAGATCTTTTCTCGTCATCTTTTCCGAGGTGAGCGTGTAGTTCTGCTTCACGCTCCCCATTAATCCCACCAAAGGCTCACACAATAGAACGATGCTGCAGGTGAGTGTGTGTGTGTGAAACTGTAGACTCTGACTCTCAGGTTTGAATCCCTGCTGTGACGACATGTTGGTTTGGTGTTAATCTGCCTCATACGTCTGCTGACATTTACAGGTGCAGCTGCTTCAGCGTGGCGACTGGAGGTTTTAACGCCGTGATCCTTTCTGTTGGGTGACCTTCTGTCTTTGTGTCTCCAGTTTTTGGTGACTTTGCAGTTTGAGGAATTGACAAGATGGAAATTGT